TACTGCATTTTTCTTACATAAATCTTGTTTGGAGAATTCACTTTAGCTTTGTGGTAGACGTGGGTGGTCTGAGGGAAATCCTCTTTTCTTTTCCAGTGGTAAGGGATCAATTACCAGGATTAGCAGTGGGCAATCCTGGCCAAGTAGAAAAGACTGTAGAATTGCTGGAGACATACAGGCAGATGACAGCTTGTTTTAAGAGACCGGTTGGAGGTTTGTTGCCCTAGATGAAGACAAGCAAAGTTGAAGTTTGCAAAGTATTTATCATGAAATCCATAAATCATAAACGTCATTGAGTTTGTATCAGGTCACCAGATAAATGAAAATGAAAACATACTAACGTTTCGCTTTCTTAATTTTATCTTCTGATAAAATTTATTTATCCATTGCAAAAAATGTATTTATTTATAGCAAAATCTCCAGAGTACTTCCTTCCTTAGTAGCAATAATAATAAAAAAGTGAAAGTATGTATGCTTTGGGTGTGAATAAAACAGCCCAATTGCACAGACCTGCAGGTTTTCTGGTTCTGATTGGAGTGGGTCTGTGAGCTCTAGTTCTTGTGGTGGGCAGTCACCTAACATCATGCCTTTGTCCCTGAAAACACACACACACACACACACACACACACACACACACACACACACACGTATTGTGTGGCGGCAGGGATTGAATCCAGGATCTTATGTATGTTAACATGCACTGTGCTATTGATCTACATCCCTGGACCAGAATATTGATTAAAAAGTGATTCATCATTGGTCATAGGTCATTCTAAGTGAACCTCTGACTAGTAATTGGGGAAGACTGGTGGAGCTCAGCCTGGGGATGCTCAGACACAGTGACCATGGAGGTATTTGCAGGATGAGTGCTAAAAGCTGTATGTATTTCCAATGATTCTCACATTCATTCACTTTTACTTTCTGTTAAAATGGAGGCGGTGTGAAAGGAAGTGCATCAACTAACAGTATTTGGGATTCTGTGGGTCACAGTCCTGAGAGGAGGAATTTGATGAGGTTGTTTAATATATTTTGAAACATATGATAGCTCTTGGGCCCTCTGCTGAATTGGAAGGATTGGGTGTTAGTAAATCCTTGGAAAAGTAACTGGATGTTTGAGATTCCTGCTAAATTTGATATACTCCACACCTGGCTCTCTCATGCTCCAGGTTTTTGCTTGAATTAAGAATTGAGAAGTAGATGATCTTAACAAGTAATTTTAAGTATTGCATTTTAATGAGTTGGGCTATTCTGATGGGCTGGAGCGATAAGACAGCAGTAGGGCGTTCGCCTTACAAGCGGCCAACATGGCCGACCCGAGTTCGATTCCTCCACCCCTCTCGGAGAGCCCGGCAAGCTACCGAGAGTATTCGATATGCCAGACACAGTAACAACAGTCTCCAATGGAGATGTTACTGGGCCCGCTCGAGCAAATCGACGATCAACGGGAGGGCCTTTACCTTTACCTTTACCTATTAAAATAGAATGAAAACCTCTTCTTTTGCAGGTGAATAAAATGGAAACTTTAATATTGTAGTCAAAGTAATTATGAAATTTTTATAATCATATAAGTATACATAAAATAAATTTCCTTGATCAGTACAATGTATTTGATAGAGTGGGTATTCGACTCTTGTGGTGAAAGTTTAATTTTTTTTAATTAACTCAAATAATTTTTTCTTTTTCCACACCCAGCTGTGCTCAGCGATCACTCCTAGCTGTTTGAGGCACCATGTGCCGTGCTGGGCACTGTATCTGGCTTGGAAGCATGTAAGGCACTGCTTTGTCTGCTGCACTCTCTGACCCTATTTTGGTCGCAGTTTACTTAATAATTTTTCTTCTTCTTTTTTAATGTTCTTTTATTTATTCATGTTTTTTTTGGGGGGGGCACACCCGGCAGTGCTCAGGGGTGTCTTCAGGCTCTGCACTCAGGAATGACTCTTGGCAGGGTTTGGGAACCATATAGGATGCAAGGCAAGTGCCCTACCTCCTGTACATGGCTCCCTTTTGGAGATAGTTTAAAGGGCATAAATTACCTAAAGAATGGTAGGTGATTTTTATAAATACTCCTCAACATTTCCATGCCCTTTGTCCCATTTCCTGTACTTGGAAGATCAGAAGTGTAAGCAAACAAAATGATTGTACTGATGCTAGTTTTATCAGCAAAATTAAATTATTAAAATATCCAGTTATATGGCCACCATTGAGTTAATTATCTTGCTTTTATTTATTATTAATGCTGGAGATTAAAACCAGGCTGGCCACATGCAAGGCAAACACCATACCTGTTGAACTATCTCTCTGATGTCAGATGATTTTTTAGTTTTATAGGACATTATTTTAAAGGAGGGCTGGAGTGATAGCACAGCGGGTAGGGCGTTTGCCTTGCACGCAGCCAACATGTCCGACCTGAGTTCGATTCCTCCGCCCCTCTCGGAGAGCCTGGCAAGCTACTGAGAGTATCTTGCCCGCACGGCAAAACTTGGCAAGCTACCTGTGATGTATTCGATATGCCAAACACAGTAACAAATCTCACAATGGAGACGTTACTGGGCCTGCTTGAGCAAATCGATGAACAATGGGAGGACAGTGACGGTGATTTTAAAGGAAATAACTATTGTTCTTAATACCTAAGTGCCCATTATTAAAAAGTATATAAATAAGAGCTAAAGTTAGTCTATATTTTTGGGAGGGGTGATGGTACAAGGGATCAAATCCAGAGCCTAATGCATGCAAGAAAAATGCTCTCAGTGAGCTGTATCTTAGGTTTGGTCTATGTGCATGTTCAAATATTTTAGAGTACAGAAAAATTATTTAGCGATGCCTTTTTCAGTTCTTCTCTTAAAGGTTAGACCTGTTAATAAGTTCTTGTATGTCCTTTAAAAATGTCAGTTATGTCTCTATATACTTTAATTTTATATCACGTTGATCAATATCATGTGCATTATTTTACAAGGTATTTCAAAGTTCTCTTTCCTTTTAATATATCTTTCATTTATGGCATGTAAAACTTATCTGGAGGTATTTATTAGAAAAATCTTCTAAGTTATCCTATTAGTGTATGACAGGTGGTGTGCAGTGCATTTTTTCTGACAGGCGTGATGGAGTCAGGGTGGTACATAAGAGTTCATCGCACAGATCTTGTTAACAAACCGGCATTTAGAAAACGAATGCCGTAGTTCATTGCTCTATTTTCATTCCTTCCATGCAGAACAGATGGCTCACTGGACCTAATGCACTTGCATGTTTCCTGTCCTATCTTTGCTGATGTGTCCTGCCTGCACCTGCGATGTCAGCATATTGTACCATAGTTAATTCTCGAGGGTAGCTAATGCCAACATAGCTTTTCTTTGCTGAATGATAGCATTTGCATCTGAGTCCTTATGTTTGATGAGTGGACTGGTCAAATATATTTTCTTGAGTTTCTATAGAATTATTTGGACTCCAGTATTATCCCATTGATTTAGCTTTGATGTAATTCCCACTTCTTACTTATGGACACTTTGTAGGATAAAGTCAAATAGGCATTGTTATAAAGCAGTTGTCTTCAGGGAAAATCAGGAGTCAACTTCCAATTTTTTGTTGTGCTAATCAGTCATTAGGGTCTGGACCCCAAAATTATTCACTGGGTACATTAGTGGTTCTGACCCTTCTGCTTCAGTGGTTTTTTTTCTTTGAAACAGAAGGTTCAGGAATCCTAGTAAATGTCCACCAAATTTCTTAGTCTTGAATCTTGTTTAATTTAACATGCATTTATTACCTGCTTTTGGGAAGAATCTTCTAGTTTTGTATTCTAGTTAATCCAAATACTGTGAAACTTTGAGATTCAGTTTGGTGAAATCTCAAATCAGTTTTATAAGTCCAGACCTTTTTTTTCTATATGTAAGTATATTTTAAAGCAAAGTGGAATATTACCACATATGTAATTTTGTGTTTTGCATGTATCTTAAAAAAAGTTCACTCATCTTGGTTCAAAATAGGAAACTGATCAATTTTATTTATTTATTTATGTTGTGGGTGGGGGTACACCCGGCACTGCTTAGGGTCTTAGGGTTTGCTCTTGGCTCTGAGCTCAGGTCACTTCTGGTGAGGTTTGGGGGACAATTTGTGGTTTCCATGATCGAGCCCAGGTCAGCCAAGTGCAAAGCAACTGCCCAAATCACTGTACTATTGTTCTGGTCCCTGAATGGATTAGTTTGAAATGGAAGGACAATTATTGAATCAAGTAATATTTAGCTATATGTCAGAGTCTTTCAGAATTTGTCTTCACATAGGTAACGTGAAAATGATTATTTCTAATATTGAGCCTGTTACTGAAAGCATTTTCTTTTTAAAAAATAGTTTAACTTTGGGGCTAGAGCAATAGCACAGTGGGTAGGGCATTTGCCTTGCATGTGACTGACCCGGGTTCGATTCCCAGTATCCCATATAGTCCCCTGAGCACCGCCAGGGGTAATTCCTGAGTGCAAAGCTAGGAGTAACCTCTGTGCATCACCAGGTATGACCCAAAAAGCAAAAAAAAAAAAATTTAATTTTGTTTTAATCTCTTAATTTGGAGAAGTCAATTTTATATTTTAATTTGTTTATTTTTATAATTCTTATTTTTAGGTATAGCTAAACTCATTTAAATTTTATATATGATTATAGAATGTAATTCTTTTAAATTAATACCAATATTTTTACATTACTGCTCTAAATCTTGGCTTTATTTTCTATAAACATTATCCTTTTTGTTTGCTTTGTAATTGTTTTGGAGTATTTCTGGTTGTTTTTACATAAGTTAGGGATTGAAATGCTCTGTTTCACTCTGTTTTTCTTGGACTTCCTTTCCTCCATTGCTGATCATGGATGAGGCAAAGCCTTCCTGATTTCCCACTCTGTTTCACTAGCAAGTTGTAGTTGTCCTTGTACGTCTAGACACATGTGTGTGTATACATATATCTGTCTATATATATATATCTATATATCACTGTAACTTCAGGGAAACATGATTGAGAGTTTTTTTTTAAGCTAGGATAGAATAGACAACCCTAGTAAGATCTGCAGTTAGTCTATTTCTGTCACTGCAGTGATTTTAGCAAACATGGTTCCCCTCACATCTGCAACATCACGGAGAGCTAGTGATCAGGTTTGCACGAGATTCGTTTTTTGTAGGATTCACAGAGGTCTAGGTGGGATTCTGTTTTTTTTTTTTTTGAACTCATTAAAGCCGAAGATGATTATCTTTCCTGTGATTTCTTTGTCCATACTTTTGGACAAGGAGTTTTTTTTTTTAATATCTCTAGACTTCCAATCTACATGATTTTCCCATTACCTATTGATCACTTTTCCTTGCTTCTGAAATAATAGTGGGACTGTTATTTGTCCCCTAACCAGGTTTTCATTCTTGTATAAGCTATTTATGTGTGGACTCATGGCTACTGTGACGCCTTTCTTGGGCCTTTGTAGTTTTCTTTGGGCAACTGTCGCTCTAACCTGTCGCATCCTTGGCCATCTCTGTTCTCTGAATATACCCGTGTTGAACTGGAGTTATGTGGATTGCAGAACAAAGATAAACCTGTTGAATTTCAAAGAAATATGAGATATGGATAGAGTTGCCTGTATTTTCAGTTTGGGAATCTCAACTTTGGCATAAAGTAAGAATCATATTATGATGAAACATAGGGTAGCTTTATGGTTGTAAGAAGTATTTTAAAATTTCAAAATGTTTAGTCAATATTGTTATCTTGGATTCTTGGATTACAAAAATAATTAAGGAATAGAGAACATGTTTTGTGTGCAGGAGACCTGGTTTTAATCATTAGCTCCATGTGGCCACCCAACCACTGCAGAGAGCAACCTCTGAGCACTGAGTCAGGAGTAGCTCCCAGTCATCATAGGTGTGCCTTCCATCCATAAACACTCCAATTAAAAAATGTTTACTACACATGAAATTCAAAGATAACCCCCAAGCAAGGTATAGAAAATCCATCATATCATATAGTTGAGCTAATGTATTTTTTTCACTTAATCCAAGTAGAAATTTAATTGTTATTTATAATTTTTAGCCTTTCATTATCAAGTTTTATTTATGTAGCTTGTCTTTATTGAGTATCCTGAAGATATAGCCTTGGGTTTCTTAAACTTTAATATTTTCTCTGCACTGTGTCTCAGTGTGGGCTGGAGTGATAGCACAGTGGGTAGGGCGTTTGCCTTACACGCAGCCAACATGGCCGACCCGAGTTCGATTCCTCCGCCCCTCTCGGAGAGCCCGGCAAGCTACCGAGAGTATTCGATATGCCAGACACAGTAACAACAAAGTCTCAATGGAGACGTTACTGGGCCCGCTCGAGCAAATCGATGAACAATGGGAGGACAGTGATCAGCCCGGCAAGCTACCGAGAGTATCTCACCTGCATGGCAGAGCCTGGCAAGCTCCCCGTGACATATTTGATATGCCAGACACAGTAACAACAAAGTCTCAATGGAGATGTTACTGGGCCCGCTCGAGCAAATCGATGAACAACAGGAGGACAGTGATCAGTGATCAGTGTGTCAGTGTCTCCAGGTATTTGTAGAAAGAGTGAAAAAAATTATAAATTTTTATTTCAGTTTTATCAGTGCTTCTCTTCTATTGAAGTTTCTAGGGCCTACTTTCAGCAGTAGTAAAATTAAGAGGAAAGGCCAGCTGTACATAGTTATAAAATATATGTAGATATTATAGTGAAATTTCTGATTGACAAGAATGAGCTTCTGGGGCTGGAGTGATAGTATGGCTGATAGGGTGTTTGCTTTGCACATGGTCGACCGGGTTTATCCCTGGCATCCCCTATGGTCCCCTGAGCACCACAAGGAGTAATTCCTGAGTGCAGAGCCAGGAATAACCCCTGAGTATCACTGGGTGTGACCCCAAAAGCAAAAATAAATAGATAAATAAATAACCTTACATAGTCGAGGGTGTTATTCTTAGGGTTGCATGCTCATTATGTAATGTTAGTTCTCACTGTTTTCCACCCATACTGCACGTTTCCCACAAGAACATAAAACCCTTTGGCTTCCATAGATTTCTCCTTGGACAATGAACACCCTCGGTATTACATATTTCAATATAATTGTTTGTGTACACTTGTAGACTCAAGTGAGATGTAGAATCAAGTTGCTACCAATCTTCGCTTTGCTGAATCAAAAATTTCACTGGACAATACTTGTTTATATGTCTGGCATGTAATGTCTGTATTATTTCCTGGAAATGGTGTCATATTTGTGATAAAGTTCAGAGTTTCTAGAACAGTCCTTCTGTTTATGTTTTTTGTGAGTGGGTGGGGGTATACTCAGCTGTGCTGAGGGCTTATTCCTGACTCTGTGTTGAGGATCACTTACGGTGGGTCTCAGGAAACATATGGAGTGCTGGGGATTGAACCCAGGTCAGTTTTGTGCAGGGAAGGTGCTCTGCCTGCTATACTATATCTTCATCCCTTCTGGAGCACTTTAGCGCTGTCCTCCCATTGTTCATCGATTTGCTCCAGTGGGCACCAGTAACGTCTCCATTGTGAGACTTGTCACTGTTTTTGGCATATCGAATACACCAGAGGGAGCTTGCCAGGCTCTGCCGTGAGGGCAGGATACTCTTGGTAGCTTGGTGGGCTCTCCGAGAGGGACAGAGGAATTGAACCCGAGTCAGCTTCGTGCTAGGCAAATGCCCTGCCTGCTGTGCTATCGCTCCAGCCCTTCTAATCACTTTAAACGCGGGTATCTATGGGACCCTCATCCCTTATTTGAAATCATTCTGAAGATGTAGCACTACCAGTCGATATTTTTAGGGAATTCCAATGTACGTTAAGAACATTTAGATAAGTATATATCTAATGACACTCTCCGAAATTTGTTAAGTTAAATTACAATTGAGTTAATCAATACATAATGTGAAGCTTTTAAAAAAAGTATTCAGACTGATAGAAAAGAGATATAGAAGAGTGTATATGGTTAATTATAGGGCTCTATGATGAGTATAATTTGAGGTGTATAAAACAGAACTTTCATCTTTCAAGCACTATTTCTGTGCTACTGAAATTTCCATTCATTGTACAATGAAATTGTTCTTACAGGTTTAGATGTCGCTTTCTAGAGAGAATGCTAAACTTGCGTTGGATGTCTTCAGAGCCACATGGTAGAAATGTTCTGAAATCTGTCTCCTTCAGGATCCTTAGCTTGTGATCCAAATCTTACTGGAGAGGAGCTCAGTGATCAGTGTGTGCTCTGCGTTCTTATGGGACTTGTAAGCATTCCAAACTTCAGTTTGGTCGTTACTATTGATCTCTAAGGTCACATTCCTCATTGATTCAGAAATGACAATAGACAGCATCAATGCACATTTTCTATTCAAGAATTGTTGGGAGGATGGAAATTTGTTCTGGAACTTTTCCCAGATAGTATATAGTTCATGTTCTGTATTTGTTGTAGTAAAAAAGCTGGGAATTGCATATTGATTTTCTTTAAGACATGTACAGTATGTGTGTTTATCATACCTATATAATCAAAACTCACTATTAGACTGTGTAAATTGTATTATGGAGAATCATGCTTAAATATTAATAGATTTCATTATTCTAGTTCTTAAATTCAAAATGCACGGGTAATGTGTAGCAGGTACCAGCAGAGGGCAGTAAGTCTTCATAATTTTTTTCTATGACATCTTTTGGAACACTTATACATATGAACTAGTGGTACACTTCCTTTTGTATTTGGCCTTCGATACAGGGTCCCAAATATATTTATTAACCATAAATTTGTATTTATATCATATGAAATAAAGAATGATAAAAGTGATTATAACTGTATACAATAAGAGCTATTTGTATTATTGTTTCATTCTGGATTAGTTATTTCTCAAAAGAAATGCCTGTTTCATATGTAGGAAGTATTTGCATTGACCCGGAAATATCAAATTGAAGTGTTTCTTTAGTGAAATGAGGTTATCACTCATTTTTCAAATCTATTGCAAGCTGTTCCCGGGTCAGATCATTCTAACGGTGTAATCGCTGTGTGGAGGGGAATGTGTATATGTGCATTAAAACACATGCATGGTACAAAAATAGAAAAGATGATTGGGGGATGGCATTTAAGCTCTTATGTAGAAGTTTGTGCAGGGAGCTGCACCTCTCATTTTTGCACATTTTTGGGTGTGACGTGGGCATATGTGGGAAGGACTTCAGTGAAGCATCTGAACTGGACCCTGTCTTGTCAGATTACTCTGACTTCAAGGAAATAGGGAGAGGACACATCTGTGCTGAAGGAACCACAGAAACTACATGGTTGAGAAAGTGGCCTTGGTAGAAATGGGAGCTTCCACTACACACTTTAACACAGGGTTCTCCTGTGTAATGGGACTTGTAAGCATTCCAAACTTCCTCTGTCTGGTCTCTGCTGTGTCTGGAAGAGGGAGGGAGGTAAGGGGCCTTGTTAGGGACATTAATTAGAATTTAGTTGTGAATTGAAGACATTTCATTTATTCTGCCTCGACTTGAATCTTGACTTTGTTGTTCAGAAGTCAAATCATTTTGTGGAAGACATACATAAATTGGGTCATAATATCATATAAGTACTAAATAGTGTGATGAAAATTACCAGCATAGTGACGACACACATGGCATGCAATAAATGCTTGTCTCTTATCTCTTGTGGAATGTTGACATTTAGTGAACCTTTAAAGCAGATTGGGTCCTCATGCTCTTACCACTGCAGAGGCTGGAAATGCATTACTGTATTTTGCTTCTTAAATCTGCCCTGAGAAGTAGTCGTAAGCAGAGCCTTCTCATTCTGTGCTTTTAGTATGGTGGGCCCACAGGTCTCTTTACCCTTTCAGTGGTCAGTGACTATCAGTTTTTTTATGGGGGCAGAACTTGATTCTGTTCTTGGGTGATGCTTCTAGTAGTGCTGGGAAATGCGGAAATGAATGTCATTTCTCCAAGATTGGAAAAGAACATGAAAATACCTAGTATTTTTATTTTGGGGATGGTGGGAGTTTGGGCCACACCCACTGGTGCCAGGGCTTACTACTGGCTTTTTGCTCAGGGATCACTCCTGGCAGTGTTCTGTGGATCATATGGGCTGCTGGGTGTATAATCTCTTTTAGGGTCGGCCAGGGGGGCCCCCGACGG